TTTGTACAGTGTTCCTCAATTTAGGTTTGTTTCATGTTTTCTTGTGATTTAACTAAGATTGTAGGTTTGGGAGGGAGAATATAGGAAGGGCAGATATGCCCTCAATATCACATGGGTTGGAGGGGCATATATGATATCAATGTCTTCACATTGATTAACTGATTAGAGTTTTCTAAGTTTTCCTAGTCTACAGTTAGCAATTTCCCCTTTATATACTCTATTAAAGTGAATTATTAAGTGTAGCCTATACTTAAGGGGAGGGGAATTAAGCTCTTCTGGAGGGAGAAATATCACAAATAAGACTACAAGCCAATTATTTTCTGGAATGTCTCTCGATTTGAGTTTGTCCTTTTTTCTTCAGAATTAGATTTGTTAGATAACTTTGGCAGGATTATCGCAGAAGTGATGCTGTACTCTTCTTATTGCATTATTTCAGGTGGCAGCTTTTATTTCTCTCATTGAAAATGTTTACTTTGATCAGTTAGGGTGGAGTTTTCTAGGCTTTTCCACTGAAAATTCTTTTCTACGTATGTAATTAATATGTATTTTTTAGGAAAGAACACCTTAACTATTTTGATACTGTTTCCATAAAAGTTCAATTTATTCTTTACCTATATTGTACAGACACATGCTTTCCTGTTTTTGGTGCATTACTCTCATTATTTAATTGGACGGTCATTTCATCTCTGCTTTGACCCACTAAATCTCACTTCTGTGACTTTCTGATATATCTCTATCACTATTCAAGTTTTCCTTGATTTTTGGAGGGAACAAGATGCTCCAGGCTGACCTTGTGCTTTCCATGCCCTAGCCCTGAAATCAGCTCCCCCCCCCCCCAAGTAATACTGGTTCCTTTTAAAAAGTGGTATTTAGAAACCAAGTTCTAGGGGTTGGGTGTGCTTGAGATGGGCTGTTTCCAGGGGACTCCTGGTGGACAGCTAGGAAACACACACATACACAAACAGGCATACACACATTTGCATCCACATTTACACCTACATTGAAATACAATTATCAAAAACCATCAGTGCAATCACTCTGATTATTTATTGTAATAACACACCATAGGGTTAATTTTTTCTTCATGTATGTAACTCCCTTCTTGGACAGTGGAAAAACTTAGCTCCATCACTCTTAGTATATTTATATATCTGATCAATTTCCCTGTTCATAACCAATATGCCATTTCTGTTGTCACCTTCTTCCATGCAGGTCCCTTTATCCACTGGAGTTCTGATTCCCTGTGCTCTGCCTCCCACCTGTGCAGAAACCTCACAATGCTTGTGTTCTGCTGTTCTAGTCTACTCAACTTTGGCAACTCCCACCTCATCCCAGTAGGGCCCATACCTTAGGATTATGTCCTAATAACCTGCTCACGTGTGACTCCCCATGTTGGACTGCCCCCATGGGTGGATGCCCTCCTAACTTTGCCAATCCACAGGACATACTCTGCACCCTGTGCTGTTCTCACATGCCTTGCTGGGCAGCCCTCTCACAGGGAGTGGGCTGGAAGAGATGCTTGGGCTCTGATCCTCCAGCCTGGCCAGCACATCACTCCCCACCTCACCCTGCCCTGCTACACCACCAGTGCTGCCTAATGGCTTTAGGTCATTGTTCAGATAGAAGAAAAAGGAATTACTCTCTGGCTACTCTAGACAGAATCTTCTTATTTCCTTAAGCCTTTCAAATATTGTCCTTTATGGTAATTTTCATAACAAAAGTCTCTAGGTGGTCAATCTAGTTTGTATTTTTCACATACACTGGTTTTTTCCCTTGTGCATTTTGTGATCTTTGATTGTAAGTCTACAGTTGGTTGATCTTACACCGTGAGGAATGTAGGTGGATAATTTGAGAAAGCCCTTCCAGGATCTCTGGCTTAACTTGGGAGCCTCAAGTTTAGATTCCCTCCTCAAAAGCTGTCCAACAACTTGTTTCCTATTAGCAGTGTGAATGGGGATGACTTCCCCAGGGAAACCCTGACCTTCCTGTATGCTTACCTCTTACTGCTCAGGCTTTGGCTCTGGTTTTCTTTTTTTTTTTTTTGCTTTTTTTCTTTTTAAGACATGGGGTTCTGTCACCCAGGCTGGAGTGCAGTGGTACAATCATAGCTCATAATAACCTTGAACTCCTAGGCTCAGATGATCCTCCTGCTTCAGCCTCCAGAGTAGTTACCACTGAAGGCATGCACCACTATGCTTGGCTCATTTTTTAATTTTTGTTTTTTGTAGAGATGGGGTTTCACCATGTTACCCAGGCTGCTCTTGAAATCCTTGGTTCAAATGAGCAAACACCTGCCTTGGCCTCCCAATGCATTGCGGTTACAGGTGTGAGCCACTGAGCCCAGCTTTTTGCTTCCTTCTTGATCTTCTGGAGACATTATTCCTAAAACCTAGCAATACAACAAAAAAAATTTTCTACAGAACCTGTTTTGCAGGAGTAGGGGAACAGAATTTCCAGTTCATCATACTGACAGAAGATTTCTATATTCACTTTATTTACAAAAGAGTCAATCTTGCTTTTAAGATTTTCAGTAGGATATGTATGAAACTGCAGTGCTCACTAGTTTTCTTAGGTTTAAGCACTGACACTCATAACAATGGCACACCTGGCAGCAGCTCCACTTAGGAAGATTGAGAAGAAACACACCTCATTGGGGTCCATACAGGCATATGAGGTATACTCTTTGGCTTCCCAAATGTGATTCAGATGCAAACCAATATGGGTGTGGGCTTGGCTTGGAGTCCTTGACCGGTAAGAACCAGTATCGCTCGTATTTGTTCCCTGAGTTTATCTTTTAGATTCCCACTCAGTTAAGACAGTAACATAATGGTATGACTTTCCACCAGGTTTTTAAAGTATTTTCAAGCCAGAGGCAGTGTACAAGTCAGAGATCATTTTTACCACAAGCAATGTTGTTATTTATTTATTTGTTTTGAGACAGAATTTCACTCTTGTAACAGGCTGGAACCTAGTATCTTAGCTCACAGCAACCTCTGCCTCCTGGGTTCCAGTGATCCTCGTCTGTCAGCCTCCCGAGGAGCTGGGATTGAAGGTATGTGCCACCAGCTAATTTTTGTATTTTTAGTAGAGATGGGGTTTTGCCATGTGGGCCAGGTGGGTCTTGAACTCCTGACCTCAGGTGATCCGCCCGTCTTGGCCTCACAGCTGGGATTACAGGCATGAGCCACTGAGCCCGGCCTACAAACAATGTTGTTTTATACCACAGTGGCATTCTATCTTCATAAGGTTTCTATGGCAAATTAAACTCAAAGTGAAATCTGTTCAGAGATAAGGAAAAGGGATTGGTTAAATCTTTACTCACAGTAATTTATCAAGAACTTCAAATACTGAGAGTGTCCATGCTCAAAATTTTTCCAGAGGGTGTTTGATCAAAAAAGTTTAGAGACTCTCGTTCTAGAGAAATTGAGTTTCAAGTGGCTTATGAGATTGTTTCATGTGTTAATTTTTTTTTTGGTGGCATTCTTCTCAAGATCACCACTGAATTATCCCGAAAAATATTTTCTGAGTTAGGCGTGCCATCCTCCAGAGTTCAAAAAATAATGAAAGGTGATAAAAAGTTCAAGCCATTTAAGTATGGATGTATTAACGAGCTTTCTGATGGAGACTATTTTTTAACGGGTTGCTTGCAAAGCTTTTTTGGGGGGAATGGTTTCTCACGGTTGAATAACTATTTTTAAAAACTGTTTTCTGATTTTCATTTTAGGTATATTTATGTTAGCTGTTAATCCAGAAATATTTATTTTTAATGAAGTGTGACAATTTCGAACATAAACATTGAATTTTACAGTAAATATTCTTTTAGCTATGATGATTCTACCATTAGCATTTTATTACACATACCGTTTTATCATCCCTTGGTCCCTCCACCAACGCATGTCCTGTATGGACGTCTTGGTTGTGAACTCACGACCCTGGGTCTCCAGTTTCATGGCTCTCTCCACATTGCGGGGTCCTCTACGTTGTTGTATAAGTCACCTTTCTAACATACAAATCTTATCATGTAAATTCTGTTTTTAAAATCTTTCAATAGGCTCCACATAGTCAGAAACCGTCCCGAAGTCCGGAATCCTGGCCCCGCCTACCTTTCCAGCCCACTGCTGGGTCAGCACCGCTCACGCAAGCCCCACATTCGACGATGTGGATCAATGTCTGCAGGGGTGTGTACTTAGCCCCTTCCCCCACTGCGACCACTCAGACGCGCCTTCCCGGGCCCCACACCCCAAAACCCCTGAGCCCTTTCGTCCACAGCAGTCTGACCACCCAGCACCCTTTCCTTTATGACACGTATGAGGACTTCGTTTCTTAACCTTGCTCACTGCTCAAAAATGGAAACTCAGACAGGAGTGCTGGGCGCTGTCCGTCCTACTCACGTCTTGTTCTCAGGGCCGCAAGGCGCAGGGGCAGTGCGGGCCGAGAGCCCACCGGAGCCCGGCGCTGCCCAGCCAGGCGCGGAGAAGGGGATGGGGGCCCGGGGGCGCGGGTCTGGAGAGTTTTGGGTCGTAGGGCCTGGGGGCTCGAGGGCGCCGCACGACTGCGCGTGCACGTTAGCCCGGCGCGGGCGGCGCTCACCCCAGCTCGCGGAAGCACCCGCCTAAGTTGTGCACACCCTATCCAGCCCTCAACCCAAACCGTCGACGTCCATGACTGCAGCTCATCCAGACCCCACTTTCCAACCTACTGTCCAGGCACAGAAACCAACGTTAAGGCCCTCGGACCGTAAGCGTGGCCTTCCGTCCCCGACTCCAGGCGGAGACCGGCTGCCGTAAAGCTTCGCTCCGCCGACTGCTGCAAAGCGCCTTACGACTGAACCCGGAATCAACCTACGGCCAGCAGTCGTCGCCGCCCTGCTTCAAACGTTTGGGTTTTAGGAGCCGGGCGGAGGTGGCCGCTGTGTGTTTGCGTTGCACGCGCGCTGTCCAAAACTCGGCGGCGGCCTCAGGGCTGCTGCGGCCTCGGCGGGTGCAGTCCCCGGCGCCCGCCCGCCTCCCGGCCTCCATCATCCCAAGGTGCACCGCGGCGGGCGCGGGCCCGCGGCCATGTTGCGGTAGTTTGTTGTTTTCTTCTTGCGGAGGCAAAGCGGCAGCTGTGGCCCGCAAAGGGCCGGGCCTCGCCTCTGCCCCTTGCAGCCCCCTCCCTTCCCTGTCCTCCGCCACCCGTACCCGGGTCCGGACCAGGCACGTCGGTCCACCAGCTGGCTTGGTGGGCGAGGCTGAAGGCCGGGCCCCGCGAGTGCCATGGCGGCCGCCCTGGGAGCGGGCGGAGGAGCAGGCGCCGGAGGTACGTGGGGCTGCCAGGCTCGGGGGGCTAGGGCCGCGCCGCGGTGGGCGGGGGTGCCCGCCTGGGGGCCTGCCGGCTTAGGAGAGGACGAGGCTCTCCCGGCTCCGACTCTCTTTGTGTTCGGCCTATGGAGTTTTCTCCCCCGCCTTCCCTCCCCATTGTGATTCTCCCTTTCTCGCCCCTCCTCCCCGCTGTGCAGATCGTACTTACCTGTGAGCTTCTGTGTGTCCTCTACTTTCCAAGTCGGCCTCAAGTGTCAGGCCCATCTATGGCGTTGGCGGGCATTAAGTGCCGAAGCCGGCCTTGTGTCCTTAGAGCGAGGAGAGCGCTCCCCCACGCGACAGTGTCACTTACGGGGAGCGGGGCAGGTCGCTGCAGGGTGGGTGGTTAAGATTGTGGGCCATCCTGGCAGATTTAGATAGAGTTCAAGCCCATTACAAAAAACGTAACGAAAAGATTCATCTGTGTGAAGGAATGTGTGGCAGCAGGCCATTTTGGAAAGTGAGAATTCTTGAGAAATAGCCTCAATGAATTCCTTTTTTAAAATTAACTTGTTTGTTGCCTAATAAAAACCTGTTCGTGTTTTATCACTAGCATCTTGCAAAACTGAAAACGTGACACAAAAGGTTTAGATACTGAGTCGTTCTTTGGATAGTTTCTCTTGTTTGCAAGCATAAACACTATTGATGAAACATCTATTTCTAAAAAAATTATAGGTAACTGGCGGGGCGCGGTGGCTCACGCCTGTAACCCCAGCACTTTGGGTGGCCGAGGTGGGCGGATTACCTGAGGTCAGGAGTTCCAGACCAGCCTGGCCAACATGGCGAAACCCCATCTCTACTAAAAAATATAACAGCAACAACAAAAAGTCGGGCATCTATGGCTCGCGCCTGTAGACCCAGCTACTCAGGAGGCTGAGGCAGGAGAATCTCTTGAACCCGGGAGGCGGAGGTTGCGGTGAGCCGGGATCATGCCATCGCACTCCAGCCTGGGCTACAAAAGTGAAACTCCGTCTCAAAAAAAAAAAAAAAGAAAAATTGTAGGTAAAACCACTTTCAGTTAAAATTACAAATCACTGGGGTTTTAAAAAACGTGGAGAGATACTTGAAAGTGACTTTTTAAATGATAAATTTGAAAACTTTGAAAAGATGGTAAAATATGGATAAAGAAAGCATTTGGGATTAGTTATTGAAACGTTAAAAAAAAGCAGTCTAGTGTATTCTCGAGAAGTATCTTTCAGTAAATGCTAGCAGATGGTTACATTATAATCATGCTGTTTAGGAATTTTGACCCAAATGTCAAAACGTTTGCCTGACAAAATGGAAAAAACGAAACTACAGTTACTAAATGTAGGAATGTCGCTTCTTACGATTTGATTTGTTATATGCCACTTTTAGTGTAAATACAAGTTGTTTTGGGTGTTACATCTGAGACTTTGTAATTAAAATTTTAAAATATATAGCTTACCTCTCTTTCTGGGCATCAAAATTATGTGTTTTATAGCATTCCCAGAGTAATCTGAGAACTGTTGGGTCAACACTTTTAATTGGAAAGACTAAGGTGTTACTTGTATTTTTTCCCTTTTCTTTCGGTAATATACACTGGAGTTTTCTAGAGACTGAGTAACATGTGAGGACATTACACTGATGGCTAATGGAATATATACTTGTGTATTCTTCTACGTTTCTCATTTTAAATTCTAATATAGTAAATATGTCACTGAATGTAATCCACATCAACAGAGGCTTTTTGGGTCTTCAGTAATTGTGGCGCCAGAATTTTGGAGAATTGCTATTTCAGAAGAATAGGTAGGCTTTATTCATGATGCTTTGGAGTTTTTCCTTCCATTTTGTCGCAAATGCCAGAGTTTCCTTTGCTCTTCAACTCAAACCAAACTCCTTGCCAAGGTTTGTGAGTTCTGTATGACTTGGTCCCTGCCTACCACACCAAGGTGTTGTGTGATTGTTTCCCTTATCCTGGAAGTTTCATTGCATGAGCTGTACCTTCTGCCTGGACTGCTCCTGTCCTGGCTCTTGTCAGAGCTGACTCCTGATCCAGTGGGTCTCACACTCTTAAGGGAGGCTTTCATTGAGAATTGATTCTGTTTGAGGAACGGCTGTCCCTTGCTCATGTGCCTCCCTTCTCTTCATTCTGTAGCACCCTTGTTTGTTTTCTTCAGAACTTTTATCTCAATTTGTAATTTTCTTTAGTTATTTACTTGTTTTTTAAATCTGCCTCCCACAGTAGCCTGTAAGCTTCATGAGGACAAAAATACTGCCTGTTTTACCATGCATTCCATATGTTCCTGGCACAGAGCATGTGTTCAACAAACATTTGGTGAATGAATTAAAGAATGAAATGTTTTCTTTAGGAATATGAAAAATATAATTGTATCCTAAGTTAGTCATTTCCGTGTGATTTATCTGTGTAACTGATTAAATCATGTTACCTTGGAGAAGTATTTACGTTGGTAATACCTCATTGATAGCTACAGATTGCTTATTTGCAGCTCAGTTTAGCATATTGTTTAGCACAGTGGCTTTCAAACTTTTTAAAATGGTGACTACAGAAATGTGATTGACATTGTGATTTAGTACATACATAAAATAAAATTCATAAACAATACTGGTCCATACTATGTCATGCACTCTAATGTTTTCTATTTCATTGCAGTAAAATGCTGGTTGTGACCTAAATTAATTTCACAACCTGTGAAATGTTCAAGATTGTCAGTTTGAGAAACACTGGTTTCCTGTATAGTAAGTGGTTAATATTTGTTGAATAAAAATGAATCTTGGCTATCCATAATCTGGGTAGCCAAAATAGGTACCACAAAGTGTTTATAGGAGTATCTGCTTATTTTTTATTTTTATTTTTTTGAAACAAGGTCTTGCTCTGTGGCCCACACGGGAGTGCAGCGGTATGATCATGGCCACTTGCAGCCTTAGCTTCCTGGGCTCAGTGGATTCTCTCACTTCAGTCTCCTGAGTAGCTGGGACTGCAGGTGCGCACCACCATGCCTAGCTAATTTTTGTATTTTTTGTAGCAGGCTGGTCTCGAACTTGGACTCAAGTGAACTGCCCACCTCAGCCTCCCAAAGTGCAGGGATTCCATGAGCCATTATGCCCTGCCATGATAAATTTTGACGGAGTCATTTGATACTGCAGCCAAGCAGTAAGGATAGAGAAATGGAATTGCTAACCTTACTAATACCAGAGAGAATAGCGACTGTTATATATTGGAGACTGAAAACAAAAACATAAAGGCAAAAGCATGACATTTTGGGGAAGGAACGATAGTTTAATAAGTTTCAAGATCTTCCAGTGTCAGTGCTTCCTTGTAAAATATAAAAACAAAAAATCAGTACAGAAATCATAAAAACCCTCCAACCTAGTGAGTGCATTATCTCACGTTCTTGGGCCTTAGCTATTCTGATTTTATAGGTGAGGTTTAAAACAGAAACGGGTGCTTGTAAATTTATTTTTCTAGTCGATTCTTAGAAATAAAAAGTTGTAATGGAAAATTTCAAACACACCCAATAGTAAAATAATGAAATCACATACCCATCACCTAGCATCAACATTTTAACAATCTGTCTTCATCCCCCACCTCCACTTTTGTATATTTTGAACAAATTCCAGCTGGTAAAATTTTAGAGCAAGATACCTTGCTGGGATGAGTTAAGACTACATAGTAAACAGTTATCTGAATTTACAATTGAGAGTAAACTAGCCCAGAAAAGTTCAGCCACCTAACTCTTAAGACAGGGAAGTAGACTAGAATTTCAGTCTTTAGTTCAGTGTTCCTTCTGCTGTGCCAGTATGTAGTAAGGCAGGAAAGTGTGAGGCATGGTGCAAAAGGTTTCATATGAAATTGTGAAACTGAAACAAGTTTTAGTACTTCAACAGGTAAAATTTACCTGGTAGGAAATTTGTGGAGTGTTTTAATCACTAATAGTGCTGATAAATGAGATATTTTTGTACTGATAATTGTGTATGGCAATTTGATTCTTTTCCTTCAAGAAAAATTTTCACACTTACTTTCATAGCTTCAACAGAGAGTTTGAGGAATGGTGAAAGAATAGCCTCTCGTTTCAGCCATGAGTCCTTTTAACATTTCCTATAGGACAGGTGTACTAACGACAAAGTCCCTTAGGTCATATCTGGGTATACAATTTTTGAACATCAGTTGTCAGGTAAAGAATTCTTGGTTGACAGTTGTTATCTTTCAGCATTCTAAATATTTCATCCTGGCACCTTTTGGCTTCCATAGTTTCTGATGAGAAATTGACTGTTAATCTTATGAGGAATCCCTTGTACATGACATGTCAGTTCTTTCTTGGTGTGTTCAAGATTCTTTTTGTCTTTGGTTTTTCATAGTGTGAACATAATGCGTCTTGGTGTGGGTCTCTGAGTTTATCCTGCTTGGAGTGTTGAACATGTAGGTTTGTGTCTTTCACAAATTTGGAAGTTTTAAATTTTTTTCTCCACTTCTTTTTCCTGTTACTTTGTTTTCTCCTTTCTCCCATAATGCATAGATTAGTACTCTAGTGATGTCCCCTGTTTTTTAAGGTTCTGTTCATTTTTTTTCCCTGCTCCTTAGACAAGATAATTTCAGTATTTTCCTGTTTGTTCACCTGTAGCACCCGTTTGTTTTTTTCAGAACGTTTATCTCGATTTGTAATTTCCTTAATTATTTACTTGTTTTTTAAATCTGCCTCCCACATTAGCCTGTAAGCCTCATGAGAACAAAAAATGCTGCGTGTTTTACCATGCATTCCATATGTTCCTGGCACATAGAATGTGTTCAACAAATGTTTGGTGAGTGAATTAAAGAATTAAATGTTTTATTTAATGAATCTGAAAAAATATCTGTAATTGTATTCTAATTTTATGGTAGTCAATCCCACATGATTTACCTGTGTAACTTATTAAATCATGTTAACTTGATTTTTTTGAGTCCCTCAGTTTTGGGACTGCAAATTGGACATTTTAAATATT